GTAATTAAAAAAGGGAGTAGTTTCAAATAGCTCTGATAAGGAGCCTTTTGTAAGGCTTCTGTCATCCTTTTTAAAAGAAAAAGGTAAGCCATTCAGCCAACAAAAGAGTTTTTTCAGGAATAGCAGGAAAACTGCAATTCAGGACAAGCAAACTCTGGCAAACCACAAGCAAGTCCTGAGAACAAAGTGAGAGCGGTCCTTCATAGAGCTAAGGAGGAAGTTGGGAGGGATGCTTTGAACAAAAGTTCATTGGAGGAAAATGAGAGCTGGAAGTGGTGACAGCCTCTCATTGGCTGCAGGTGAGGGTAGCTTGCTGTTGTTGGGCTGAGAGAAAATCTTCCCTCCTGCTGGACTAGGCAAGCTGGGAGGAATGGTCGTACATGTGTGAAAGCTTGCCCTTCATGTTTTCCCAACTCCAGTTTTGAGTGAAGTTTCCTTAATACATTTTCACTCTTCCCACAACCTGTTGAGGTTGAGAAACCACATATGGAAGCCCAGTTAATTTTCAAAGGTATAATTTAGATAATTTAACCCCTCAAGTCAGAGAAGCCTATAAAGAATTGCATGGTTTGAACTGAGGTAGATTTGCAGTCCATTTAAGTCATTGGACCACTAGTCCACTAGGAAACTGGAAAAGCAATTCATTTAACACAGATGTGAGCATAAATAATAATCCTGCAGTGATATATAATTAATTATATACTGACTTGCAATTATATGATTGCTTTCTATGAAGAATTAATTCAGAGTTCTCTCTTTGGCATTGAGACTGTGCCCCCGATACACCTTGAACTTTCAAAAATATGTATGTTATTTGAACTTGAAGTTTTAGTTGGGAGAATAATGAAATCCTATTTATTTTATCACTCAAAACATTTCTAGGGGGCAGACTGACTTTTTTCAATGAAACTGATTATTTTTGTTACAAAACAAAATGTTTAAGTATGTGTAAAAGTATAAAAAGGGCTTCACTAATGTAACTGAAGAGTACCACATTGTACATTGTCTTCCAGTTATAAAACAAAAACACCCAACCTTGCATATTTTGATGAAGTGTGCATTCTGCACTAATTTTTAAGGATGGAATAGGTTTAAAACGTTTCCAGTTATATCAAAGAACGTTCTTAAATATCTTTTAAAAATCCAATCATAAGTTCATATTCACTTAAATATCCCAAAATAACAAGGAAAAAAAGGAGTTTACTTGAGGGCACCATCATTCTGAGATGGACCAAGGTTATCAAAATGTAATCAATTTTATGACATAAAATTCTTTTATGGTTGCTCCTATATAGGAACATTCAATAAATGGAGAAAGAAGGTCACCATTCCCCCAAAAAACTAAATTCAGATGAAGGCAGAGAATACATAAAACAATTATGTAGGTATTTCTAACTCCTCATTTTAATCTGAGGTTTGTATATATCTTTGGGTATGATTGTGAAATCCATCCCCCCCAACACATACATTAAGAATGAGACCTTCTTGGGGCGCCTGGGTGGCGCAGTCGGTTAAGCGTCCGACTTCAGCCAGGTCACGATCTCGCGGTCCGTGAGTTCGAGCCCCGCGTCAGGCTCTGGGCTGATGGCTCAGAGCCTGGAGCCTGTTTCCGATTCTGTGTCTCCCTCTCTCTCTGACCCTCCCCCGTTCATGCTCTGTCTCTCTCTGTCCCAAAAATAAATAAAAACGTTGAAAAAAAAAATTAA